GGGTTTTTCTCTGTATCTATGAAGCGCCTTGAGGCGACTTATGTTGTGATTTGGCGCTATATAAATAAAATTGAATTGAATTGAATTGAATTCAAAGATGTTAGGGCAATAGAATGTGGCACTTCTAAATCACACGATAAGTATTACAGGTCAGGCCATCTAGAATTAGTCACAAATTTGGTACTAATTTATTTTCCTGGAGTTTTAATCATAACTGCTTCATTTTTAAACCCAAGTAAAAATTCACTGTGTAAAAACAAAACTCATTATATAAATTTTTTTTTGCATAAAATAACATAAACTGACTTGGTTCTATCTGAGATTTCCACAGACGTTCAGATGAGGATATTAAATCTTTAGTGAAAACTTCACTACAGTTTAATCCAAAAATTGAGACCGTCACTTCACTTTGTAAAATATTTTCAGAATATTCAAATACTTTTAGCCATCTAGATTTTAACACAAACATATTCTCAGTTACATTTTAGCGCCTTAATCAAGCAACATTTTTAAATCCAGAAATTTTATATTTTAATCTTTAATTTCCCACTTTTAAGATGTCAGAAAACCGCTGAAAAATAAAGAGATAAAAGGCTTACATGACACCACAGATAAATGAATGTCATTAAATATTAGAGAAAGGCATGTGTACACGATCTCTGCACTGATGTCAATCAATCAACAGGTGAACTTAACAACACACCTTTGTATGCATCTACAAAACATGCAAGTTTTTATCAAAATGAATGCCTAAAATATTATTATTTATTATTTATTTACATATAATTGGCATACTAGTAACAATAATAATATTTTGTGATTTTTAAAAGTTTAGTAATTTTGAGCTGGCAGTTTAGGTTTTCCATATATTTATATGTTAACGACTTTCTCTTTTTTTTTTTTTTTTTAGCAAGGTAGAATAGAATAGAATAATCCTTTAATTGTCCCACAAGGGGAAATTTGGTTGTAACAGCAGCCAAAAAGACACGTATACAAACAAACAGTACACAGGACACAGAACAGAAACATAGGTAGTTTCAAACACCTATTATGTGTCATTTTTTACGTAAAAAATAAATAATGTTTTTTTTACCCACAAAGTCCTCACATACCCTCCGCACAGAGCGTCAGTGACACACACTCGTGCCTGATGTGTGTGCGCTCCTCTCGCTGAGCGGTGCTGCAGTTCTTCATCACGATGCCAAGCACGCGGCAGTTGACGGCGGGTCACGTGACCTTTCCCCGTCGTGTCCAACAGCAGAAGAGAGACAGTTCACACAGCAAGAGAGTAAGAGTGACACACACGCAGCCGGAGAGGAGAGAAGTAAGAGGGGAAAAGTACAGGAGAAGAAGACGAGGTATATTCCACCGATATGGCCTTGCGGGATGAACTTTTAAAGTCCATTTGGCATGCCTTCACAGCTCTGGATGTGGACAAAAGCGGGAAAGTCTCTAAATCTCAGCTGAAGGTAAGCTGCTTTCCTTGATGGTTTTGAGTTTCGTTTGGCCGCTGGAGGTTTTAACCTTTAGGATCTTTGGCTTTTTTCGAAATAGTGAACCCGTTTCTTCCTATTCTGATTTGCGTGGAAAAAAACAAACTGTGCGTTTGGGTTTTTTTTGCCACTTCTGTCAGGCAGCATCAGCTGAGACGCACCTGTTGACAGTTTGCACATCGATTAAAGGAGAATCCCACACTAAAAACCACCACAGAACAAGTAGAGCCAACAGATGTTTGAAAAGGAGGCTTTAACGCAGATGAAAGTAAAGTTATTCAAAAGATCTGCATACACCTCTCATCACTGGAAGAATCCACTTGAAAACACAGCCAAGTAGAAGCTATTTTTATATGAGTACAAATTTCCTGGAGATACCTCCATGTATGTAAACAACACGCACTCACACTCCTGTGCCAGCCAAACATTGTTCAGGAACGGATGGAAAAAACAAAAACACTTTTCACTTCAGGAGCATCAAACCAAAGTGAAAATGGTCGCTGCTACTCTGGGGTAAGTGCAAAGAGAAAGGGCATGGGACGGCATAGGCCCCTCCTGGGTTCCCACCCTCTATTGCCAATGTACCGGCCATCCATCTTGTTCTCCTTATCCATTCAGGGTCGGGTTCTAACACAGTTCTCATAGGGTGAGGGGCAGGGTACACCCTGGACAGTGCCAGTCTGTCACAGGGCTGACACAGACAGACACCTATTCAATCCTGCAGTCAATGTGGAATCGCCAGTGAACCCAACATGCATGTCTTTGGACTGTGGAAGGGTGAGGAACCCGGGGTACATGGAGAGAACCCAGGCAAACGCAGGGAGAACATGCAGACTCCACACAGAAAGCCTCCAGCCGGTGGATTCAAACCCAGAATCATCTTGCTGTGAGGTGCCAACCACTACACTACTTTAGTGATTCAGAGATTATAGTCTTTGGTTATCTAACAATGCCAAACACCATTGGATGAGAGCATGAATAGGAACAATGGCTGAATGTAGCTCAAGTACTTGTTGTCGTTTAAGTATTTCTATTTAATAAGTGGAGCTGAAGGTTATACAGTGGGTTTTAACATGGCAAAACCAAGGGGGTAAACTTTTGATTAGTCCTCACCATTCACTACAACTGGTAGTTTATCTTTGCTGGAATAGAAAATATTGTTTGACAGAGCTCAGTTGACTGACTAATACTCCGAGCAATAAAATTGCGCAGTGAAGATCTAAGAAGGAGAACAGTAGATTTACACAAGCTGGGAAGGTCTTTTTGGAGCCATTTCTAAACAACTGCAGATTCCAAGATCATCCCTTCAAACAACTCCACGCAAGTACAAGTTATTCTGCCTACAGTGAAGTGACTTTTACATCTTCATTGACTAAGAGGGTGCTGACCAAGACTACTTCAAATTTGACACATTCAAGTGCCACTGAAATTTGCAGCTGTCCACACGGACAAGCCAAATGCCTCCTGGAGAAAGGTTTTATATGAGACATGACGAATACTGAGGTGTCTGGTCACAATCACGAGAAGTATGTTTGGAGGAGTAAAGGTGACTCTGTCAAAACTAAGAACACGGACATGAATGTCAAGCAAGGGCTGTTGTGCTGCCAGTGATACTGGTACATTGCACAAAGTGGATGAAATGATGACGGAGGGCTACCTTCATATTCTTCAACTTCACCTCAAATCAACAGTAGATGGTTGAAACTTGGAGACAGTTGGATGTTCCAACAGGACAGTGATCCCAAACGCACATCAGAACTACCTACATATGCTTGGCGACTGTCTGAAATAGTTACTCAAAACAAAACAGTCTTTAAATTCTTGTACAGCTATTGCATCGATGATAATGCATAATAACTGCATTGTCATTGGTACCAGGGCACAGGGCTGCATACGTGCACACCGTGTCTTCAACATTAGTTGTCTATAGTATACTTACTTTAAATATTCTGATCTGGTCCCCCTCTTTTTTTATTATTATCCTGGGAATGTCCCTGTTGCTACTTGCACAATAGTTAGACTAGTTCCTACACAACTGTGGCCTAAAAAAGGAGAAAAAAAATGCAATGCAGCTTTAAGACGCTCCACATCTGTTGAAAATGGTGAAACCGCTTCCTTTGTGGTTCTCTTGGTTGTGCCACACTTGTTCTCCAATTACTGCTGTCATGTCCACATGTGCAACCCCACACAGCTGCGAGTCGTCAAAAGGAATTCTGGGCAGGGGCCTTTGTATGACAGGGAGCAATATTTACATTTTGTTTTATTTTGTAAATGTCGACTGTAACCTACGACTTGAACCCTACGCTGTGACCTTTCATGTAACCTCAAGTGCATTTCTCAAGAAATGTAACTGCAGGGAGCAAAGGTAGAAACGGCCAAGACCTGGCTTAAATGGAATGTAACTCATAACTATTAGCTGAAATTGACTTAAACATATCAATCGATCGTTATAATAACTAGTAAGTATTGTTTTCACCTCTGATTTCAGGTGCTGTCCCACAACTTATGTACAGTCATGAACATTCCCCATGACCCAGTGGCTCTGGAGGAGCACTTCAAAGATGATGACGAGGGTCCTGTCTCCAACCAGGGATACATGCCTTACCTGAACAAGTTCATTCTGGATAAGGTCAGTCAGCTGTGTAAGCACATTCAGTCACACTTTGTCAGCCTAGGATAGTAAAGTGGTGTTTATTATATCTAGGGCGCTGTCTTTTTCAGTGTCAACACACTGACAAACAATAAGTGCCATTGTTATAGAGGAAATAATAATGGCAAATTATCAGTCTGCGCTGCAACTCTTCATGACTTTGCTTTGAAAATGATACATTAGCTGAAGGCTGTTCAGAGGCTTGACCAGCCATAACAAGTACTTTGTGGGCGTTTTATCTATTTTCTACTAAGGCAGGAGATTGGAGTCATGTTATAGTTGCTGATTGTTTGTCCCTGAGAGCAACAGTCCCGAGTCTTCGTCAGGGCTGCAAAAGCTGCCTGTATGGGCCACTCATAAATAGTGGTGTGATGCTCCTCTCATCACAATTCTAGACAAATAAAATCAGAATTATCTTCAAAGTAGCCAATTCTTTTTGAAATGCATGTTCTTTTCTCTCAAGCAGTTATTTCAATTTCTTGTTTTCTTGCATCATCCTAACTTATTTTAACAGCTGACCTGATATTGTTCTGTAAATTTTCTCCAATCCATAATTTCTTGGGTAAAATATTAAACGCCACCAACTGTGAAACATCATCGGGTGTCTGAGAGAGTGCTGTATGTGTCGAGTTAAAGCACTGAATGACTGGTTGAGAAGACCAGAAAAACTATATAAATCGGGTCCATTTTTAGTATCCGGGCCTTCACATAGCAAACTAGTGTCAAACCTCAGTGCTTCTTCCTTCATGCTTAACAGTTGACATGTGCAGTGTTTGCAGAACCATTCTCAATCAGTATTTGCCTCTTCCTCAACAGAATGGGCACAGATTCAGATTTCTGCAAGTCTTTGCTGTAGTTTAACGTCTTTGTGTAATCTTTATAAGATATCCTCTGCTATGGGATGTAGCAGCTTTTGATTTCGTAGACATTTTGTCTTACGGTAGATGTTTGAACATGGGGCATTTAGACATGAAACTGAGAAAGTTGTGATCAAGATATGATTCATACCGACTGGTCTTTCTTGATATGAGGAGACCTTTTCATTAAGTAGACTTTGTGCATCTCTGAATACTTTTAAAACCTGATCACAGGTAGCTTTTGGAGTCTTGATCTTAATGCTACTGAGGTGCTGTGGCATGGGCTGACATTTTGTACAAACATGCCAATATAATTGCATTAAAAACCACGTTTTGGGAGTAATGTTCCCAAATTCTCATCATTGTGGTGTATGTGTCATAAGCAGCTACTTATCTTATAGAGGGTGTTGAAGCTAAATGTGGTTTTTTTTTTAGTTACTAAATCAAGAGCTGGCATACTTTTCCCAGCCTGCATTGTGACTGATTACACTGTGTTAGATAAAGACTTAAAGCTATTTATCTGTCACTTGATCTAAGATTGGAACCCACTGTGACCAAAGGGTTCCCAAACTTTCTCTTGCAGAACCCTTGTTTTTTTTGTTTTTGTTTTTTTGATCATGTTTAAAGGTTATTTATTAGTCATATTTAATCGTGCACTACAAAGGTCCATTGATGGACACAGTGTATTAGTAGCTACATTGTGCTGGTGTCACCCTCTGTGTCCATCCATCATTGTATTGCTCCGAGACGGCGGCACAAAACCATTTATTGAACATCAGACCTTTGTGATGATGTAATAATGGGGTCACGGGATGAATGGAGCGTTTGTGATTGCATAGCTGGACATCATGACAAGAGAAAATGCTTATTTAGTCATGTCATGAGCAGCAGTGAGCTCTAGTGGAATTCCTTCTATATTTGGAATTCTTGTATAACATCCGTGCTAAGTGGCTATTGCCATGATTTAAAAAGGTTCTTAAACTCTGTCTTAATGAAGGGTTTAAGACTTCTTATTCTTGAATTTTGCTGATTTTATTTTATTTTTTTATATTTTCCAGTAGTTTAGTGTGGCATTTTGATTATTGTTGGTTTGTTTGCTTGTTTGTTTTACAACTTCCATTTCAGTCATTTTAAAGATGTAAGAAAAAAATAGATACTTATGAGTAAAATAAGTATCTATATATAAAAATATAAAAATATGAGTTCTGATTGGCTACCTGATAGACTGTGCTCACTGCTAACTTCATGTCTCAATAATCTGTGACACTTTATTAAATTGATCTGTTAATTAACTGATCAATGAATATAAAATACTTTTCCTACCCGTATACATTTCTCCACTGGCGTATAGAAAAATCTTTTGTTTTGCCCTTAAAATGACTTGACTATTTCCAGCAGACCAGTTGGTTCAGCTGGAGCTTCAATATATAGAAAGCTTGGATTAACACTAGTTTAGAGAGGCTGTTTGTATTTGTTTATCCTCTTCGTTGTCTCTGTGGCAGTGCACATTTCTGACTGTGTTATGTCTGAAGTGATTTGTGATAAAGCTGCTTAAATAATTTCTTTCTGGACAAACAGACAGTGTTGTGTAGTTAAGACGTGCTCGTGATTGGTGCTGAAAATTTCTAACCACATTTTCTTTAAAGAAACTAAATGCTGGATTTAGTTTGAGGAAGACACACACACACACACACAC